CCACTCCCTACACATTGTTGTCTTACAGATTCTCAAGGAAACCTTTGAGGCAGGCACCATTATCCCCCTTTTGCAGGAAACGGAGCCACAGTGGGATGAAGTCACTCGGCCAGTGAGTAGGCAGCTGGGACGTCCACTTAGGATCGTCCTTTCTCTTGCCTCATGGTGCCTCTCAGGAAGGCCCCTCTCTGTCCTCTGAGACCCTTGAAACCCTTCACTCCATGTTGAAGGGGAGGGGGCTGTCTCAGAGCTGAACCCAAGGAGAGCAGGGTTACAAGGCCTGGAGGAGAGAGAGGGTCATGCCCCCTGACTGGGTGGGGGAGGGGAAGGGAGGCTCTGCACCCCACAAGAATGCTAACGGCTGGTCTCACCCACCCTTCCTGGCACCCGCTCCCCTACCCTCTGGGTCCAGGCTCCCCTACTCTGGAGCAAACAAACCAGGTTCCTCCCATCCCAGGCCAGCTCACCTGGGTTCTCAGCAAACCCAGGGGTCTGCCTGTAACAGAGTCAGGCCTCTGCAAGGAGCTGGAGCTGAGGCTTACGTGGGGCCCCAGAGCTGCCTCCACGGCCCTCTCGGGATTCTGGAAGCCTCACTCCTGGTAGTTTGGCCTCCCCGCCTCTCTCCCTGTGTCAGCTCCAGTGGGACCTGGCATGGCTTCATCCGGTGGCTTGGAGTCAGATCCCAAACAAACCGCCTTTCTCAGGGAGACAAACGCCCTGGAACCCCCTAATCTCCTTCTCCAGCCACATTGTGTTGCTTTCTGTGATCTTAATCTCCCCTGGCAGGTCACGCTGGAAAAAGCATCCAGGGGACACCAGATCTCTCTGAGCAAAGCCAGGGCTGTCTCCCCACCCGCCCCTGTTCCCTCACACCACGGGGTGTGCCCTGCCTGGGAGGGAAGGCGCCTCCTGGTGGCTGCGGCGCCAGCCCCGCAGCGGAAATCTCACGTGCGCCGGGCTCTCCTTTCCTCTGGCTCTGGCTGCCCTCGTGCTGGGCTCTGGGCCCGCCGGCTTCTGCGAAGTCTCCTGTTCAGGCCCCTCTGCAAGGACGAGGGTGCGTGGGGAGGAGGGAAGAAGTGGGTTTTGAGAGCAGAGGACCTGGGTTTGCGTTCCTGCTTCACCAGCAGCTGCCCAGGCAGGAAAGTCCTGGTAAAGTTGGTTTTGTGACCTGGGGCAAGTCTTCTGAGGGTTCTGGGCCTCAGTGTGCTCACTGTGACCTGGGCATAATGACGGTGCTGCTGCCTTCCAGAGCTGTAGTGAGCCCCGAGTGACAGGAGCTTGGCAAAGGGCTCTGCCACACCAACTAGAACTAAGCTGTAACTTAATTAAGCTATAACATATATAATAAGGCGTGCCCATTCTACGTACACGAGTTTTGACAAATGTGTACATCATAGTCAAGATTCATTTCAATCTCCTCAGAAAGTTCTCTTGTGCTCCTTCAGTTATCTGCTTTCCGTTCCTGTAACTAGAACGTCGTATAATGGAATCCTACAGATAATCCCCCGTGTCTGGTTTCTTCCAGAAGTCAGCATAACGTCTGAGATTCATGCTGTCGGCTGCATCAACTTTTGTGCCTTTGTAATACTGAGGAGAATTCTGTTGCACTGATAGATCACAGTTTGTTCATCCATTCACCTTTTCTTTGACACGTGGGCTGTTTTCGGCTTTTTTTTTTCCAGTTTGGGGCTATTATGACTAAAGCTCCTATGAATATCCGCGCACAGGTTTTTGTGTGAACATATGTTTTCATTTCTCTAGAGTCAATGTGAGGGAGGGCAATTGCTGACTCATACGTTAAGAATGTGTCTAACTTTGTAGGAAACTCGCCAAACTGCCTTCCAGAGTGGCTGGAGCCGCCGCTCTCCCACCAGCAGTGTTCTAGCTGCTCCCCATTCTCATCAGCACTTGGTGTTGTCTGTCTGGGTGCCTGCCTCCCACTGGCGTCCACTCCCCACTATTCCCCAAGACCTGCTGACGCCGCCTATCTTCCCAGGCTCTCCCCTCCTCTCTGGCCCACGTCTCAGGTTTGTCTTAGGTCAGCAGCCAGGGGGAGATGGGATCTGGGGACACAGAAACTCTCAGGCTCAACTGTTTTGGAGACCTGGCCTGGGATGGAATTTCAAATGCAGCCTTGCAACTCAGTGAAGCAGAGATGGGGCCTTTTTAGAATCCCTGTCTTCTCCAGGGCCAAGAATTTTGTTTTGCTCATTTTAATGGTTACTTTCTACTTAGTCAGCTCTATGTCACCTTCCTGGAGGGATCTTTCCTGCTGACCAGGCGCAGAACCAGACTTCGTGGGGCCTGCAGCTTATCTAAGTTTCGAGAGCACTCTTTGGGAAAACGAATCCATGACTGTGGGTACAAAATGTGGGAGGGAAGTATTTGGAATGGGAGTAAGAAGACACCTGACCACATAGAGAGTTTAAGCTTTATGAGCTTTGGACTAAGTCCACTTCTGCCAGCCCTACTAAGTGAACCGGGGGGTGGGGGTGGGGCTGTCCTGTCTCTCTGGTCCAGCCCTGTGCCTTGGTTTCTTTTTCTTGACAGTGTGCCATGTTACCTGGTGCCACAGTCTATCTCTGTTTGTTCACTGTCTGTCTCCCCCCGGAATGTACTTTCTATGAGGGCGAGGGGCCGTCTGTTCACTGCTGTATCCCCAGCACCCAGAACAGTACCTGGTACATAATGCGCATCCAATGAACATTGACTAAACAAGGGAACTTTCCAAGTGCTGCTGGTTTTGTATTTGCAGAAGTGAGATGGAGTTTTAAAGTGAATCGATGTGTAGAAAAATGTGAGACTCATGGTGGTGGTGCACAGAAATGGCAAAGGCCATCATGTCAGAAGCACAGGGACAGAACGGGCTGACATTTGTGAGCACCTGCTATGGGCAGCCACTCCCTACACATTGTCGTCTTACAGATTCTCAAGGAAACCTTTGAGGCAGGCACCATTATCCCCTTTTTGCAGGAAACGGAAGCACAGTGGGATGAAGTCACTCGGCCAGTGAGTAGGCAGCTGGGACGTCCACTTAGGATCGTCCTTTCTCTTGCCTCATGGTGCCTCTCAGGAAGGCCCCTCTCTGTCCTCTGAGACCCTTGAAACCCTTCACTCCATGTTGAAGGGGAGGGGGCTGTCTCAGAGCTGAACCCAAGGAGAGCAGGGTTACAAGGCCTGGAGGAGAGAGAGGGTCATGCCCCCTGACTGGGTGGGGGAGGGGAAGGGAGGCTCTGCACCCCACAAGCGGCAGCCCTGCGCAGGCCAACTTGAACTAGGCCAGCCTGGAACCGAACTGTGTTGTTAAACACTGGGACAGGGACTGTGAACTGCTTCCAGAACTTGATTTGGTTTAAAGAGAATAAGGAGAGAAAGTCCAGAAACACTTCTTGCCCAGAAGCCAGGAATCCTACCAGCTCCCACCTGAGAATGGGGGTGACAAGAGGGCCTGTCCATGTCGGTGTTCCCTCCTGTGGACCTGTGCATGGAACACTCACTTCACAGGTTGACATGAGGATCAATTTAGGTCATGGCACACGAAAGTACTAATTACCTGTGAATTCTTTTTTCTTTCTGAGTCTTGCTACAAGATCTTGAGCTTTTTGGCTAACATCAGTCTGGGATTGCTTGGAACACTTCGCCCCAAGCTCTGCATCAGATGTCATCCTTGTACTGGTGGCATCATTTTCACCATAGCAGCCTTTTCTTTAGCACCTACTATGTGCCCAGCACTGCACATCCCCCACAACTCCACCAAGTAAAGTCTATCATTCCCATTTTGTGGATGGGGAGACTGAGGCCCCACAGATACTAAGCAGTGCAGTGGGGGTAAGGAGCACAGATATTGTTCCGTTTCCGTTTTGCAGGTCATTTCTCTCCTGTCTTCCTCCCCATTCTCTATAAAAATGTACATTCAAAAAACATACTTTCAAAACATATATAAAATATATAATTATTATATATAATATATAAATCTAATTATGTATTCAAATACATGTAGTAATATGTAAACTACTAAAAACCCATTTATATATTGAGTGCCCACTCTGTGTGGGGCAGCCTTCCAGCCCAGAACCCAGAGAGGGGCCAGACTCATCCCTGCTTTCCAGGAGCTCAGAGAGCAGCCCAGGAGACAGCTGGGCAGCAAGGACTCTGAAATGCCACGGCAGGTGCAGAGCAGCAGGACGGTGCTTCTGCTGTGGAGGAAGAGAGCCTAGACGTGTGGGCAATCGACACGGATCCGCCAGCACACGGCCAGTGTTTTGCGTATGTGCTTGTGTGTGTGCATGTATGTGTGCGCACACAAGTATGAAGTGACTGACAGAGAGTAATGAGGGGTAGTTGCTGCCTCAAATTGTGGCATGCTTTGTACAGTGCCCCCCAACTGCATGGAGTTTCAATTTCCACTGTAAATGGAGCACTTCTAATTTCATCTTTAAAATGAGGGTTTTTTTTTATTACTGGGTCTTCTTAAAAATTGTGATATAATTGACATACATTATATTTGTTTAGGTGTTGGTGCACACAGTGATTCCATATTTGTGTGTATTGTGAAATGATCACCATAATAAGTCTAGTTAATGTCAGTCCCCATACATAGTTACAGAATTTTTTACCTTGGGAGGAGAAAGATCTACTTTTATGTCAATTTCCAAATACGCGATCCAGTATTATTAACTATAGTGACCATGCTGGACATTACATCCCCACAACTTACTTCATAGCTGCAAGTTTGTACCTTTTGAGCCCCTTCACCCACTTTGCCAACCCTCTCAGCCCCTGCCTCTGGTGGCCGCCAATCTGTTCTCTGCATCTATGAGCTTGCCTTCTTAAAAAAAATGAGAACTTTGATTCAAGTACAGGCCTATAGCCTGGAGCAATTTGGCAGTTTTTAAAAATTAACAGGCAAAATTTGTATGAATAAAGTCCTTACATCTGACATTTATTTAAGAAGCAGATTTAAAAAAATATGCATATCATTTTAATTATTTATTACAGAATTTTAAGAACATAAATAAAAAGAGAATATATAAGGAACCCCCCCATGTATTCAAAATCCAGCTTCAATGGTTGTGAATATTTGGCCATTCCTTGACGAAATAGATTCTTGATGAGTTAAATAAATTAGAATTTTGCAAAACATTTAATGTAGATCACTTAATGACTCTCTTGTTGTTTTCTCTGATAAAAGAAGTAAAAACCATTTAAAAATATTTATAGTGTTTGTTGAAGAAGTTAATATAGTTCTTTGCCTATGGAACTCTAAAGGTGCAGGATAGAGAATTCAGATTCTTAGGCTGAAGGAGTCTGGGCAGGGAAACACCTCTCTAACCCATCTCTTGCAGACCTAACATTTTGTGATTCTCTTATCTGTAGAGAGAAAAAGCTCATTTATAACTCTTCTGCTCTGCTCTTAAATGCATGGCAAAGATTCAAGAATGTGTTTGCTTGGAGCTTACAGCCCTGGGAGATTCAGTTAGAGAACAAGACTTCCTTGTCTCCTGCTCTGACTCTCTGAATCTCCCTCAGACCCAAATTGGCATCCGCATAAGTCACAAGCAGCTGTGGCACTTTGGAGAAAATTCCCAAACCTGGAGGTGGAAAAAAATAAAGATAAGCTCTACACCCATTTGCTGTGTGGTCTTGAGAAAGTTGCTTTCCTCTCTGGTCTCCATCGCCCATCTCCAAATGGATGTCCCCTGGGTCATCTCTGTGGCCTTTACAACTTTGAATGACAGTGGTCTGTGGCCAAGTGCGAGAGCGAGTGTTAAGCTCCATACATACTGTGGTAGATATGCACACTTATCCATTTGTTCTTGAGAAAATGACACGCTAGTGAGCTTGGATGCGTTTGGAAAAGTGAACAGTTTTTTCTAAGATTAGGTGCTGTGCACTTAACAAGATGGTCCAGAAGTCAGCCGAAGGTGCCTAAGATCCAGAACAGAATGTCTTAAATCCCCATTCTGAATTCCCCTCCACCTCTCTGAAGAACGCCACGGACCCCTGAGGGGCCCCATGCTCTCAAGGTGCAGACCCAGGAACCCTCTCCCTCTTTCATCCCACATGACTCATTGCTCCATCTCCACACTCAAGAGATCCGCACACACGAAGATCTGTGAACAGGGCAGACTCCTCCACCCACCCAGGGAGGGGCCACGTTGAGGGTCACCCAGCACGTGATACAGATTCCTGCAGTGGTCTTTCTTTATTTAGAATTCTGACCCACTTCCTCACCCCCAACTGCCCAGCCTTCCTCCACTTACTGGGTTTGCTTCTCCTTTCCTTTCCTTTCCCGATGTTCTCCCCCTCCCTCCTTTCTATGTTGCCGAGCAGTCCCAGCTCTCAGCCCCTCCAGCCTGCAAGCACACACACCCAAACCTGTCAGGCTGCTTGCCAGGCAGACTTCCACTTCACAGGATCAACCTTCTACAGAAAAGAGGTATTGTCATAAGGATTTTTAAAGAGTTTACAAGGCTACAGCCTGGATGCCACTTGGGCAAAATCAGGGGTGACGATACTCCTTCTGATTCACTGTCCTCAAGGCTGTGCCTGTGAAGTCTATCCGGCAGACCTGCCTGTAAGAGCATTGTGTACTACTTGACACCACCTTTCCTCGCTGGCTTCTTCCTATCATGCTCTCTTGGCTGTCCTCCTTCTCTACGATTCAGGCTTCTTCTCCTCCTCCTTGGTGGATTCTCTGGGCCACGTGTGTGGCAAAGTGGAAGGTGACACAGGAGTATTTCTGTGAGCATCTGCTCCATGGGCTCCTCCTGGGGTGGGGCTGGGCAGGGCTGTCTCCTGTGGAAGCTCTCCCACGAGGTATCCCACTGGTCTGCAGCACCTGGGTCTTTGGGTGGTGTTGGTGAGTCTTTGGGGCTGGTCCCCAAGTGTGAACTCAAAACAGGGACGTGGAAGAAGGAAGCAGAGAAGCGGCCTGGGAAGTGATGCGGTTTGACAAGGCTGGGAAGGAGCAGAGGCCCCTCCGCAGGAGAGCTGGCCTCTCACCCCACCCAGTGCCCCCGCATGCATGGGGAGCTGGAGGGGGTGCTCAGCGCTGCTGCCTGGGGTGGGAGATGACTTGCTTTCCTTCCCCTAGAGAAGAGAAGCTGGTCTTGTGACTTGAGGTGTGGCCAGAGGGATCGAAGGAGAAAGCAAATGATGAAGGAGAGGGCACTGTTGCTGTGTTGGCACTTGGCAAATTCTTCACAGAGATTCTTGAGCTGGGCTTTGAGTACAGACACTTGCAGGCTGATCATCTTTGTCAGGTGGATCAGTGTGGGTGGGAAGTGGCTGAGTAAAGGGAAACTCACTGCAGCAGAGGGAGCAAGGCACGTGATCAGGGTGTGGTGGGTGAACACGCTGGCGAACCACGACCAGTCCTGTGAGGCTGGATTGAAAGGGCTGGTGGAATGAGAGGCGGAGCTTTTGTGGGCTCTGCTACACCGTTTGGATTTGTTTGGTAGGCCACAGCCATTGGAGGGTGGTAAGTACGCAAGTGACAATGTTGGCTGTGCATCTTAGAAAGATGCCTTTGGCTTCTGGGTGGTTCCCAGGAGCCGGTGTGGAACAGGGAGGCCAGTTAGGTGTCTGTGCATCATCCAGGCAAAAATGATGGCAGGGAATTGTCAGGCCAGGTAGAAAGGAGTGAATAAATCCCGTGGACATCAAGGAGGTGGCATCTATAAAGCATAGTGAGCAAATGTAAGAGGTATTATGTATACATAGATTCATTTTAACTGCTGTATGATATTCCACTGGGTGAATAAAACACATTTTTAGATCTACATTCTCCTAATGATTGTCATTTCTAGTTTCTCACTATTACAAATAGGACTGCAACGAACATCTTTGTATCTATCTCCCCGTGCACTTGAAATTCTCTTTAGAGTTGTTATTTAGAACTGGTTTTGCTGTATGGTGAGGTTTGACTATCTTCAAATCTACTAGATATTCTCCAGTTCCTCCTTAAAATGATTGTCCACCTTCTTCCATCAACAAACTTGGGAGTTCCTTTTTCCCCATTGCTTGTCTATTATCAGACTTGTAAGATTTGGGAGTCTGATCAGCATGAAATGGAATCTTTCTGTTATTTCCATTTGTTGCCCTGAGTACTAGTGAGATTGAGTTTGTTTTTATATGATTTTTTACCACCCTGTTTTCTTCTGTGAATTGCCTGTTCATATGCTTTGCTCGTTTTTGAGGGGTTTGTCTTTTTCTTACTGATAGAATTCTTTATATATCCTGGTTACTACTCCGTTGTTGGTTAAAATATCTTTTCTCAGGTTGTGACTTGCCTTTTCCATTTCATTTAAAAAAGTCTTTTTCAGGCAGTAGTTTTAAATTTCAATGTATTTCAACATTTCAAAATTTTCCTTTATAGCTTTTAGTTAATGTGTCTCAGTTAAAATATTTTCCTATACTGATGCTATGAAAATATTCTTCTATATTTCTACTTCTTCTAAAAATTTTTTTTTCATGGTTAGATGTTTGATCTCTTGCATGCATGCATGTGTGTATGCGTGTGTGTGTGTACAATGTGATGAAAAGGCCTAATTTTACTTTTTTTCAGTTAGCCAATTTTTCCAGTACTATTTATAGAAATCATTTCTTCATTCATTCATTATTTATATTCATCATTACCTGATGTGTCATTCCACCTCTGTTAAATATTGGCCATGTTTATGGGTTTATTATCTATTTATCCTATTTCATGGTTTGTTTATCTATTCTTGGAGGAATACCATACTGTTTTAATTACAATAGCTTTATAATAACCCCTTATATCTTATAAGAAAAGTCCCTTAATTTGGGGATTTCCATTTCAAAGTTGCCTTGACAGTTCTTGGCCCTCTTTCCTTCCATACTGATTTTAAGATCATCATACCAAGTTCCATGAAAAAATCCTTAGGGATTTTAGTGAGAATGGAATCAAACTAATAGAAATAATTTGGGGTGAGTCACTGTTTTTAAACTATAGAGAGCTCCCTTCTATGAGTATGCTATATATCATTCTATTGCTTAAGTCTTCTTTTATGACTTTCAATACAGTTTTACATTTTTCTCCATATAAGTCTTAAGTATTTTTGTTAGATTTAATTCTAATAACATGATTTATCACCTAAAAAAAAACTGACACTCACCACTGAGTACATACGCTTAGCGCATATTTTTCTAAGTTAAGGAAGGGCCCACTATCCCTAATGCTCTAAGAGTTCTTGTTTGTTTTTCATAGGAAGCTTTGAAATAAAATATAAATTTTAATACATTTTCTACATATAGTTTCTCTTCATTTTAGCTGTTAATATGGTGAATTACATTAATAATTTTTCTGAGTTTAAACCTTCCCTGCATTCCTGGGATAAGCACCACTTGGCCGGGGTAGGTAGATAGATAGGTTACCATGTTCCATCTGCAGGACTAGTTGGGGTGGAGGTTATAGGGAAAGGGCACAGCCTTGAAGACAGAGCATTTATGAGGGCCTAGTGCTCCCCAGGCTTACAGAAGTCTAAAGCCAGCTCTTTTTCTACTTGGCATTTCATGGATTTCTCTGAGCCCCATCCATCCACTCCACTGAGAGTTCTAATGCAGTGCCTATGGCATGGTGATACCGTGACTCCCAGCAGGCCATCTGGTCTTCCCCGTTCAACCCTCTCTGTCATCTGTTCCCCAGAGGGCAGATTCCTTTTCCTTCCTGCCCTCCAGTCTGGGTATGCATTCTTGCCTGCTGTCACTAGAGAGCCACTCTCCCAAGACCATCTTCTCGCTCTCCCCTCAGCTGCCAGGCAGCTCACTGTGACTCGCCTTTAGGTTTTCAGGTAGGTGTGAGCCTTCATACCGACCCCCATCATGGGGACCCCTTAAGCCCTCTGAGTGGTCCCCCTCAAGCCCCTCTCATTTGGTTTGAGGTGAAGGTGAAGCCCCTACATATGTGCCCATCTCCAAAGGCATCCCCCTTTCCTCCAGCCTGTCTGGTTTGTGCCCTTTTAGCCACCAGACCTGGGTGAAGGCCAGTGCTGGCAGAACTGGCTCCATAAAACCTTAGCTTACCCTGCAGAGGTAAGGCAGGTTAGCATCTTTTTTAGGAAGGGGGAAGAACTGAGTGATTGTATCTTGTTCTCCATGAAGCTGAAATGAAAAAAGTCCCATTTTAATATCCTGTTACACATTTTTCTAGAGCATTACTTATCTGTTTTAAATGTATTGGCATAGAATTGGTCATAGCATCCTAGTAAGAGTTAAAAAACTCTATTATTTCTGTATCTTCTAAATTATATGTTCTTTTTCATTCTGAATGTGTTTTCTCTTTTTCTTTTTAAATCGGTCTTGCCAGAGGTTTGATTATTTATTAGTGTTTTTAGAGAACACTGAACATTCTCTCTATTGCTTCTTTGCATTCTATTTAATTTGCATCCTTTTTTCTTTCTTACTTTCTGATTGTGACATAAATAATATATACAAAAGAGTGCATAGGAAACACGTGTATGTTTTAGGGATAATGACAAAGGGAACAATTGTGTATCCAGGAGGGAGTTTAAGAAACTGAGTGCCAGAATCAGGGAAGCCCAAACACAGTCCTGTCCTTAAATGTTGTGCTAACCACCCATTTCCTTTTTACAAATGGTTTTCACTTGTCTATGTGTAGCTAAACGATATATTGTCCAGGTTAGCATTTTTCAAAGGACCCTAGGTGACCAGAATTGGATTAATCAAAACCGTTGCTTCATGCCAGACTCTCATCTTTGGCACACGCATGGTCTTTTCTCCCCCTTTCGTCCCTCAGTCTGTCCTCTGTCCTTCGATTCCTCCCTCTTCCTTTCTCCCTCCCTGCCTCTCTTCTTTTCTTTCCTCTTACCTTCTATTTTCTTTAATGTGATAAAATGGACACTGTGACTCTACTGCCTAACAAAGCCCAGGACCTCAATCACATCAGGCTGTGAGGTGCCTCTTGCTGGCAGTTTGAATTCTACATGCATCATTCTCTCTTTTCCCTATTATATGTCTTTATTGTGTTTATCTGTTTTCTCAAAAAGTATATTTTATTTTACTTTATTTATTTATTTATTAAGGCATCATTGATATACACTCTTATGAAGGTTTCACAAGAAAAACAATGTGGTTATTACCTTCACCCTTATTATCGAGTGCCCCCCCCATACCCCATTGCAGTCACTGTGCATCAGTGTAGTAAGATGCCACAGAGTTTCTGTTTGTCTTCTCTGAACTACACTGTCTTCCCCGTGACCCCCCCACACACACACATTGTGTGCCAATCATAATACCCCTCAAACCTCCTCTCCCTCCCTCCCTCCCACCCCACCCTCCTCCACCCCTTTGGTAGCCACTAGTCCCTTCTTGGAGTCTGTGAATCTGCTGCTATTTTGTTCCTTCAGTTTTGCTTCATTGTTATACTCCACAAATGAGGGAAATCATTCGGTATTTGTCTTTCTCTGCCTGACTTATTTCACTGAGCATAACACCCTCCAGCTCCATTCATGTTGTTGCAAATAGTTGGATTTGTTTCTTTCTTATGGCTGAATAATATTCCATTGTGTATATGTACCACCTCTTCTTTATCCTTTCATCTACTGATGGACACTTAGGTTGCTTCCGTATCTTGGCTATTGTAAATAGTGCTGCAATAAACATAGGGGTGCATATGTCTTTTTGAATCTGAGAAGTTCTTTTCTTTCAGTAAATTCCTAGGAGTGGAGTTCCGGGTCAAATGGTATTTCTATTTTTAGTTTTTTGAGGAACCTCCATACTGCTTTCCACAATGGTTGAACTAGTTTACATTCCCACCAGCAGTGTAGGAGGGTTCCCCTTTCCCCACATCCTCACCAGCATTTGTTGTTATTAGTCTTTTCGATGCTGGCCATCCTAACTGGTGTGAGGTGATATCTCATTGTGGTTTTAATTTGCATTTCCCTGATAATTAGCGATGTGGAGCATCTTTTCATGTGCCTATTGGCCATCTGAATTTCTTCTTTGGAGAAGTGTCTGTTCATATCCTCTGCCCATTTTTTAATAGGGTTATTTGCTTTTTGGGTATTGAGGCATGTGAGCTCTTTATATATTTTGGATGTCAACCCCTTATTGGATATGTCATTTATGAATATATTCTCCCATACTGTAGGGTGTCTTTTTGTTCTACTGATGGTGTCCTTTGCTGTACAGAAGCTTTTTATCTTGATGTAGTCCCATTTGTTCATTTTTGCTTTTGTTTCCCTTGACCGTGGAGATATGTTCATGAAGAAGTTGCTCATGTTTATATTCATGAGATTTTTGCCTTTTTTCTTCTAAGAGTTTTATGGTTTCATGACTTATATTCAGGTCTTTGATCCATTTTGAGTTTACTTTTGTGTACGGGGTTTGATAATAATCCAGGTTCATTCTCTTGCATGTAGCTGTCCAGTTTTGCCAACACCAGCTGTTGAAGAGGCTGTCATTTCCCCATTGTATGTCCATGCCTCCTTTATCATATATTAATTGACCATATTTGTTAATTTGTTGAACCCTATCGTTTTAATGCACCATAACTTTAACCAATTGCTGGACTTAAAAAATAACTTCTGTACATGATGTGTCAATAGATAGCCTTGTCCATAAATCATTGCATGTATTCATAATCATTTCTTATATGCTTGGGTTTTTATCTGAGCTCTCTAGTCTGTTCCACTGGTCTATGAGTCTGTTCTTGTGCCTGTACCAAATTGTCTTGATTACAAGCTTTGTAGTAGAGCTTGAAGTCAGAGAGTGTAATCCCCCCTACTTTATTCTTCCTTTCAAGATTACTTTGGCTATTCAGGTCTTTTGTGATTCCATATGAATTTTAGAACTATTTGCTCCAGTTCATTGAAGAATGCTATTGGTATTTTGATAGGGATTGCATTGAATCTGTAGATTGAAAAAGCACATTTAAAATTTTGGTTGTTTTAACTCTGGCATCTTCGAAAATTTTTTTTCTTTGCGTAATATGATTGCAACTAAGTTGCATTCACTATTATTGAGTTCACTTTGGTTAATTTGTTTTTTATTATAAAATAGCTATAACATAGAACGTACCACTTTAACCGTTTGAAGGGTACAGTGGCATTAAGTACATTCATGTTGTTGTTCCGCTGTCACTGCCATCCATCTCCAGAACTTTTCTTGTCTTTTTAAACTGAAACGCCAATTAATTTGATTTGATAGTGAACACGACATGAACACATCACAGGTTACTTATTCATTTCCCAGCTGGTGAACAGCAGTGGGTGTTTCCAGGGTTTTGCTATTGTGCATGGTGCTGCTATGCTCATTCTTGTAATGTCTGCTGATGAGCATGTTTGCTTGTTGAGCTTAAATATGCAAATGTTCAACTTTAGGAGATGAAGTCAAAGGTTTTTGCAAAGTGGTTGCAACAATTTCCACTCCAATTGCAAGGTGCCAGATACCACAAATCCACATCTTCACCAACATTTGGCATGTGAACTTGAAATTTTGACAAATGGAGGTAAGAAGGCTTTGTAAGTCAATTGGTATCACATTCTAAGTGGGCAAGGTGTGCTGGCTAGTGCCTGCTCTGGGGGTCTCCTTCTTCAACTCTCAACTTTCAAGACTCTTTTATAGGCTTTATTCTTGCAGAAATTTCCAAAATGATATTTACTGCCTCCTCCCCAATTATGAAAATTTTGTCTATTATTTGTAGAAAACTTGGAAAGTGTAATCCTACTTTTCCCATAAAAATGAGAAGGGGGTATTCTGAATGTGGGTGTGTAGCATCTGTGCAGGTACTGCGGAGAGCAGTTACTCTAGGTGAATTATGTTCAAGATCACTGTGTTTCCAGGAATGCCTCGTCAGGGAGGCGAGGCTGAGGGCTCTGCTGGGGTAGTGGATCACCCATCCCTGACACCCGGTGGCCGTCCTTGTCCCAGGACCCATCCTATTGAATCCTCTGTCTTGCAAAATCAGCAGGACAGTTTGTATTATCTCATTGTACAGATGAGGAGACTGAGAATCAGAGGTTAAGGGACATCTTCGAGGCCACACAGAGGAGTCAAGTCAAAGGCAGCTTTTGGACATCATTTCTGGTGCTCCTTCTACTGTCCATCATGTCCTACAGGAGAGATTGGCTGTCGAGTCCTAGACTAAGCCCTGGCATCCTACCACAGAGACCTAAAGCTGGGGAGCTAGGGGAAGAGGGGCTAAAAGTGGCCTGCTGTCCTCTGCAAGAAAGGACTTGAGTCTGGACCTTTGCCTCTGTGATGTAGGGAAGGACTTAGGTAGCTTTTCAGGGGACATTTCCTGAGGGGTCAGATATTCACTGCGGCCTTAAACAAGTGCTTCCTTCTTGGGGCCTTGGAGGGAAAATGGAAGTTCCCCTGGCCAGGGAGCTCACCTGATCCTAATCTACTTGCCCACTGCACACATGCAGTGATATAATACTTGGCCTACCGTGCAGGTGCATGCTTACACACCTGTTGGCAATGAGTTACTGTTTATAAAAGGGTGACTGCTAGGTGCTTATGCACGGATTGCTGGTTATGGAGTGTGGACTTGCCAGATGTGGTATTGATTGTAGCATTTGACCTGCCACAGTGAGAATAAAGCTTCGTATAAGGCCTTTTACCTCCAATGTTCTGTTGTCATTTTTCGGTCTCACCGAATCCAGAGTGAACTTGCCTGGAGCTAAAATCCTCCAGTGCCACAGGCCTCCAGTCTCCTGGTCTGCAGCCTGGACACTTGATTAGCAGGTCTCTGAAAGTTAATTCTTGGGCAGAAAGCCACCAGACTCTGCCTGGCCCACAGCGTCCACCCTGCAGGAATGGCAGGAACCCCGGCGAAGCCAGCAGGGATCTCCACGGTGGGGCTTTCATCTCAGTGAGCAGCGTTTGCTCTTCCTTGGGCTCTGTATGTGAGGAGGAGGATGCAGTCTTCTGCTGCCCCTGGGCTTCCACTTGCAGAGTTTCCTAATTCTCTCCCCATGCCCATCAGCAAGGGCCCAACAGGGATGCCCTGTGTGGACCAGGATACTGGATGGCACCACGTGGAGATGAGAAATGTGGTGGCCCTCTTAGCAAATCTTATTTTAAGTGTCTTCCTGGTTGACTCGACTTCAAATAGCAAGCAGCTGAATCCAGTCTCTACTTGCTGCCAGCACCTTGTGCTATGCCTGGTGGGTGTCAAACGAAGTAAAGCTATGGGAACTGTTGTTCAAACCAAACTTTAGCTTGAGGAGAACATGGGTTGGTCCCTGGGGTCCTCTCCAGAACCCTGAGAGCTCCAAAGAGCACAGCTGGAAAGCTGCTGCCCAGCCCAGTGGGCTCCGGGTGTTGTCCCTGACTCCTCACGGCCTCCAGGAGACCCCTAAGGCCTCCTGCAGCTAGGACACTGAGGAACGGGCCTCAGCCAGCGCTCTTCTGTTTGCAAGTAATAGGGGTCTACTCAAACTGGCTTAAGCAAAAAGGTGACTTGATTGAAAAGCAGAGTGGGGGGGTCACAAAATACGGACAGGGTGGCTTCACAGAGGCGTGGAGCCCATGGGAACCTAGCTGTTTCCTCTGCCCCTGTCCCTCTCTGTCCCTTCCACACCCTCTGACTGGTTTTCTCTCTCTCTCTCTCACACTTGGACCATTTGATTCCACAGGACTCACCCAGTTACAGACTCAGTTCATGTTGCTGGTTGTTGATGGGTCAAATCCCATCTCACAGAGGGGTCTTCAAACTCTGTCTGTCTTCTGGGCCCACCAGAGGCTCTCAGCATTCTTTCTGCTGCAAACTTCTGGCTGAGACCATCAGGGAGGGCTGCTCGCCCCTGTGAGTGGAGCACATTCTCATGGTCAACCCCGCCCCTGTCTGTCCTATGTGAAAGCAGAAAGGGGAACATGGGATGAAGAGTGACATCACTGCAGTTATAACCTTGGATCCTATTCAATTTGTACAATTATAAACCATTCACAGATGATGTCCTCTTACAGTTGGTAACAAATTATTTGGTCCACATGTCACAGCTGATCACTGCATGACGGATAGTCACCTATTTCACCTGCAAATCCTCCCTCCAGCTGGCTGAAAGCTTAGTACAAGATGAAAGATGGGAAGGTGGGTCCTAGCTTTGGCCTTTATGTATTGAGGCTCTGTGTACTTTAAATTACACACGGGTGGACTGTGTTTGTGTGTGTGTGTGCGTGCGCATATGTTTGCGTTTCAAGACTGTCTGGAAGAGCTTTGGTACATCAGCCCCCCAGCCTCTGGCCACTTCTCTGGGTGCAGATGGAGGGCAGGTGCTAGGACTTCAGAGCAGAGGGAACCAATTACAGGGTTTTCTCCCTCCTTCTCCTTCAAGGAAATACGCTTTTAATTTCCTTTATGATTATCCTGCTTATTGCTAAACATAAGCTGATGGCTGATTCCTCTTTGATTTCTCCTTTCAGTACGTCTCCTTCTCCACCCCCTTTCATTTTCATTGTTTTATATTTAGCCCCAGACTGCTGAGAAAATATGCAATGCGTGCAACCATGCAAGTCTGAACACTTTTTTGGGTCAATTTTGGGAGCTGGATCAGCTTCCTTCTGTCCCTGAGGCAATGGGCCTCTTGGGATCCAAGGGAGCTAGGCTGGAGCATTGAAACACCCCATACTTATCTCAGGGTTTGGGGAAAGAACAGACCCTTTGTTTAAAATTTGTGGGAAAGGGTCCTCTGAAGCCCTTCTGCTCCTCTCTGTCCCAGCCTTGCCCATTCTGTGGCAGTGACTGGGCTCCTAGTCTCAAGCTATCTGCCTTCTTTTTAATTGTAAAATCTTATAGAGAGGGTTACCTGTACCCTCTTTTATGATATGATGGGTTTGCTGGATTTCTGGCTGTTGCAGAATTTCTGCAGCACAGCAGAACCTGGGATGGGGTGCGGGCATGGAGAGTTTTAGTGATGGATTTCGGGTTGGGAGGTCTGCAGCACATGGCTGAAGGACTGGAAAACCCGGAGAGAGCGTGAGAGAGCAAGGTCCCTGGCAGGGTGTGGGGTATCCATGGTTAGAGGAAATTGAGGCAGAAAAGGCTTCAAAGATAATTGAGTTGATCTCTTTCATTTTCATCATGAGGACAACCGGGCTGAGGGCAAGCCCTGCTGTTGAGGAGAGCCGACCCCTTCCCTGCCCTGGCTCTCTGGTGTCACACATTAAAGCTCCTTCCTGTCTTATGTGGCTGGCATCTTGCTTTGTTCACAGACCTCCATTATGTTCAGCCTGGCTGCTGGGAGAGCTGTGAGCAGAAAGGTCAGCCATCCAGCGCCCCTACCCTGGGACTCAAGGCTCTGAATGCATGGAGGTGTGGACTCCTACCTGGGCTCTAGGTGCCTAAGTCACTGGTACCCCAGCACTTAGATGACTCAATGTCTGGGGACAGAGGAAACTCCAGGTGCCATGGGAGTGGCTTGATCTTGGGGCTTGGCCCTGAGTCCCCTTGGAGCCCAGACCAGAGAGAGGGCTCAGCGCTTCAAAACACACTTGGATGTGAAGGACACCTAAGCCATGTGTTGCAGATTAGGAATGCAATAGAAACGCTGAAGAGGAAGGGATCATGCTTGGGTGGTGCTAGTTGTTACCCAATTAAATAGAAGATTCACCTTCCATGGCAGGACACAAACAATTGGATTTATTACGTGCTTAATGGCTCTATACTATTCGGCTCCTTGGTTATAAAGGACACAGGCTCCTTAAACGTCTTTCAGAAAAAGGGAGTTCACAGTGGAACTAGCAAGCCTGGAAAGCTCAGGGCATGGAGCTGCTGTTTTGCCCATGATTTCCTTTGATCCTTGAGACACCCTTGTGACCTAGTATAAGTAGCCCCATTTTACAGAGAAACTAAGGCACAGAGATATAATTTTCCCAGGGCTAGTTACGTGGTAGAGCACATAGCTAACACCAAATACATGGTTTTTGGATAATATTCAATCTGATCTCTATGTTCAATGGCTGGTCACATCTGAGGAAACTGAGTCACAAAGGAGCCCTATCCCAACCACCACAGCTCAGGTGAATGGAGAGATCTGGAGGCTGTCCGTCCTAGTCTGAACTTTTCATGGTCAATGTCAGTTACAGATCCTGCTTTTTCCATTCGACACCAGGCCACTGAGCCCCATGTGACCTAGAAGCTGCCTCTGGAATGTCAGGCTGATGCCCCTGGTTACCAAGGTGATCTTGGCCTCTGGCTGAGAGGTTCATTTCCAGCTCCCATTTCGATCTTGAGCACCCTTCCAGTCTCTGTTTATACCTGAAACTAGGAGAGCCAGGCAGGGTGCCCAGGGTTTCTGTCTTCTTTCAAAGAAGGGTGTCCTCACACCCCTGGTTTTTCACCCTTGCCTGACCCAGGCATTTTGTTAGACTTAATTAGTCAGAAGGTGATATCACCATAAAGATCTTTGAAATAGCGTTTGGAATCTCTACTCATTTGTGTTGGCCAATAAAGGGCAATTGTGTGTTTCTCTTTTTGTTTCTCAGTGTAATAAGATATATATTTTAAGAAAGAAAGTAAAAGGGTGGGGGGAGGGGATAAAAGCTCTGTGAAGGTGCCACAGGGCACTCATGTTATAGTCCAGCTCCTGCCCGGCTGCCTTTCATTGTCACAGGTCCCTGGCGCAGGTGTTTAAGCCATCAATCATTCAGCAAGTCTTAATTAAACAGTTAGTGGCTACAGCTGGGGGAATGCAGCCTCCTAAAGGACCCTGGCCTCAAGTAGCTGATATTCTGGGTCCTTAGGGAAACAGAGGATAGAACAACTGTCAACTGGTTGAAGTGGGGGTGGAGGACAGCAGCCTGGCTGATGTAGATGAAAAAAGACTTGGCCTAGGGTCTTGAATACATAATACATAAGAGGGGCTCATGGCATGAGCTTGGGTTTGTATCTGGTCAGTTCTGGCTTTGAATTCCAACTTTCTTAGCTTTGTGACTATGAATAAGTCACTCAACCTCTCTGAGCCTTACTTTTTTCAAATATTCTAGGATAATCATATTTCTCTCACGGGTTGTAAATCGACTATAAATAAAATCATGAGCATGGCTTAGCTTAGAACATGTATTTTTAATAAACATTACGTTTCTTCCTGTCCTTTCCTGTCTCAGTTATAATTAGGCTTTCCTGTGAGTGCTGGAACCCAAAATGTCAGAGGCCTATACAAGAATAACGTTTGCTTTTTTTCTCCCTTGTTAAAGATGCAGGTTCGTGGTCCATGGCTAGTGCACCATGGTGCAGGGACTCAAGGGCCATCTATTTTGTTGTTCTGTGTTCATAGCCTTGGTTCCGAAGATCACTTTACAATTCATCTGGTGGCTCTAGCCATCATCTCTGCATTCTAGTCCGTAAAGAAGGAGAAAGTTATACCTTCTCCTGTTAAGGAAACACTTTGGAATTTGCACATTCTACTCAGGCCATATGGCCACATCCATCATCTGGAAGTCAGGTGGGGTAATCCAGCCTCTAATCCAGATGGCCACAAGAATTTGGGGTTCTGATACTTTAGAAACAGGATGGGCGGTGGGGAACAGCTGGAAGGGTTTGCCATCTTTACTTTCCTTAATAAATGCCTCTTGCATTGAATGTTCCAGGAGAGTGGTGCGCTAGTAAAAGCAAAAGGTGTCAGAGAGAACTAGACCCAAAAGTCATCAGTAAGTGACGTTATAGGAGTCATACATTGGTGTAAGAATCAACAAAAAAGATCAAACAGAATAGAGAGTCCAGAAATAGACCCACACTTACATAGTTAGTTGATTTTTAGAGGCACCAAGGTGATTTGATAGGTCCATGATAGTTTTTTCAACAAATGATACTGGAACAATTGGACCTCTGTAGGGAAAAATAATAAAGCTTGATCTCCTACCTCACATCAGACACAAAAATTATTTTAAGATGGGTCATAGATCTGCATGTAGGAACTAAAACTATAAAGCTTCTAGAAGAATGTAAGGGGAAAAATCTTCACAACTTTGGGATAAAGACTACTTAGAAAGGAAAAATAGTACTAACCATAAAAGAAAAAAAGATGTTTTGGACTTCATCAAAATTAAAAACATCTGCTCTTCAAAAGACATTAATAAAATGAAAGTGCAAGCTACAGACAGGGAGAAAATATTTGCCTGCAGATATTTAACAAACAACTCATATTCAGAGTGTATAAAAAACACCTGTAACTCAATAATAAAATGACAGACAATCTTAATTAAAAAAACAATGTGTAAAGGATCTGGACAGATACTTCACAGAGGAAGATGTACAAATAGCCACTAAGCACATGAAAAATCTAGGAGGCACATGAAAAATCTAGGCAACATTAGTGCTAATTAGGAAACTGAAAATTAAAATGACTGAAACTATGATTAGAAGCTCAACAACCCTAATGTGGAGAGGATGGAGGAATGAAATACTTTGCTGGAGTGAGAATAAAATGGCATAGCCGTTTTGGAAAACAGATTGGCATTTTAAAAATAAAGTTAAATATTCACAAATTATGACTGAACAATTTCATTCCTAAGTTTTTGCCCAAGAGAAAGCATTTGTTTACAAAAACACTTGTACAGATATATTCATAGTTGTTTATTCATAGTGGCCCAGACTGGGGGCAACCTAAATTGTCACCTATCAGAGGATGAATTAAACCACTGTGATACATCCACGCAATGGAAAACCATTCAGAAACAGAAAGGAATGAGCTACTGATTCATGCAACAACATGTGGATCTTACAGGAATTTTATGGAATGAAAAAGCCAGACACAAAAGAGTATATTCTGAATGCTTCCATTTTATGCACTACTGGAACAGACACAATTAAGCTGTAGTGACAGAAATCAGAACAATGGCTGCTGGGAGCAGCAGTCGTGGTGAGGGTTGACTAGGAAGGGGCAGGAAAGAACTTTCTGGAATATTGGAATATTCTATAATTTGATTGGGGTATGGTTACAGGAGTGAATATATGTTAAAATTCATATATATGTCAAAAATTCATCAAATTGCACATGTAAAATCTGCATGTTATCACATGTAAATTATTCCTCAGTAAAAAATAAATGTGTTTCATTCATTATCAGGTGCAACATTCCTCCTACATAGGCAATTGTATTGTTGTCACTGTTTAAAGGGAAATCTTGGGTGATGTAACTCACTGATTTAGAACAGGCTGTTCAGGGGGCCAGAAGTGAGGATGATGTCATGAATTTGATTCTTGTGCCTGCAGGCAATTTATATTTCTCTTCCTTGAAGAGCCATGTGGTCAGGATTTCAGGGTGACCGGAAGTTGGCTCCTCCCAGATTCCTTTGCACACTGGAGTCCGAAGCCATTTAGGTCAAACATTGCCTTTTTCCTGCTTTGTCTTCAAACTGGGAACAGCAATCCACTGAAATCCCCCTTGGAAGTGTGAGCGAGTAGATCAGACGCTGGCCACCCAGGACTGGCTATGTCATTGATGGCGCCCAGTGCTACATACAAGCAAGACTGCTGTTTGAAAAATTCTAAGAATTTCATGATGCTGTCAGCAGAACATTCAACTAAGCACAGAGCCCTTCTAAATCCAAACTTCTGTGTGATTTTACAGGTGGAATGCCTATGAAGCCAGCCCTGTGTCCACTCTTGTGGACGAGTCTGGAGAAAAACTGGGCAGCCAGGGGTGCCGTGGGGTTATTGCATGCCGCCTTAAACAGCGGAAAGAGTAAAGGCTTCCTAGAGGAGGTGATATTTGATTGGGCTATCTGAAGGAGAATCCACCTCGTTGTGAGGAGGTGAGAGTGAGGCATTGTGGGGGGAGAGAAGGCAGGAGCAGAGTTGGAATGATGGAAGAGCATCGGGTGGGAGTGGAGCATGGAGGAAATGTGGGTTTAGCTGTGGGCAGGCAGTGTGTCTGGGAACCAAGGGCCCTATCTCCCCCTGTGGAAGCACACAGGGCTGGACCTCTCCTCCTCCTTGGACAGTGGAGAGGAGGCCACAGAAGAACAGGCCCTACTGCCTAGGTCTGGGAGTCCGGAGGCCGATGTGAGGAGGTGGGGACCTTCAGAGGTTATTCACGGAGGTGTAGGGCTGCTGGATGGTGGCAAGTGGCCAGCGGTAGCACCTTGGCTGGACTGCCCCCGGGCATGCATGACATTATCTCTGCCCTTTGCTGAACAACCTCCCCAGCTTTCCAGTGATTCTAAAGGCTCCCCAGTGACATCCTAATAGGTTCTTTCTGACTTCAGTTAGCCACGGTCACTTTCTGGTGTTGGCAACCAAGAATCCAGGTGCAACATGATCAGCTGGGCCAAGCAATGGAAGCTTTTAATACCAGAGCGAGAAGGAGTACAGACAATAGGGAGCCATGAGAGGTGTGTGAGCAAAGGAGTGCCTTGCTCCACAGATTCAGGAAGCATCATTGGTAGGTTGGAATAGGGAGGAATAACTGCCGGGCAGTGGGGAGCAGGACCAGGGCAGTAATAGTGAGAAAGGAGGGAACAGGGTACCAGGACAAGGGTCACAATTGACAGGATTTTGCCACGGCTAGAAGTGGGAGGATAGTGGGGAGAATTTCCCCCAGACAAAACGCACCATGGTCTATTTCCTTTCTGTGGTCTTCTCAATATCCACTTCATCTGTTTCAATTTATGAATTTGGGGGAAAGGTTGTAGATCAAGGGATGCTGGCCGAGCTCTGCAGCCTCATCTGAGAGGTTGCCTCCCCTCGGAGCTATGCTTTGCACGAGAGCAGACAGGAGGTCTTAGGAATGATTAGCTTCTAAGGGGAGGGGAAAAAGGCAACGCTTAATTCCTCTTTAACAACGTATGTCAGTAGGTAACGTTTTCAATATGTCATTGTGTCTGCAGCTCCGGTCAGCGGGTTGCTATCATTTTTGAGCAATAAGCAAAAGACTGCTTTTAATTACTTCTGTGAAATTGCTCAACCTATGCATGATTAAATATTCATTATGTAGAATGAGGCATTTTCTTTGTATATGGATCCATATTAAATTTAGCCGGCAACCCGCTGACCGAACAGTACTAATACATTTCCTGTAATGGTCCTCAGCTTTTCCTGATTACTCCATCTCTTCTCTCTTAATCCTCCCTCCAGGTCCCTGTCACTGTCTTGGTCTAGCTATCTCTGTCACTTAAAAAAAAATTGAGGTGAAATTTATCATAAGGTTAACAATTTTAATGCGGACAATTCAATGGCATTTAGTGCATTCACAATGTTGGGCAACCACCCTTTGTCTCCTGTTTCAAATTTTTTCATGTCCTCCCCTGACCTTGAACACACCGTACCCATTAAGTATCTCTCCCATTCCTTCCTCCTGCCCCCTGGTGATCACTAACTGGTTTTCTGTCTCCATAGATTCGCCTATTCTGCACATTTCATATAAAAGGAATCATATAATAGGTGACCTTTTGTGCCTTACTTCTTTAATCTAGCATAATGTTTTTGAGGTTCCTACAAATTGTAGCATCTGTCAGAATTTCATTCCTTTTTATGGCTAAGTAATATTCCATTGTATGGATATACCATTATCTGTTTATAAATTCATCTGCTGATGAACACTTGGGTTGTTTCACCTTTTGGCTGTTATGAATAGTACAGCTGTGAACATTTGTGTGCAAGTTACTATGCGTTTTCATTTCTCTTGGGTATATACCTAGGGGTAGAATTGGTGGGTCATCTGTAAATTCTATATTTAACTTTTTGAGGAACTGACATACTGTTTTCTATAGCAGCTGCAGCACTTTACATTGCCCTCTCCCAGTAATGGTATGGGAGGTCCTATTTCTCCACATCCTCACTAAGACTTCTGTTTTTGATTATGAATGTCCTAGTGGGTATGAAGCGATATCTCATTGTGGCTTTGATTTACATTTCCTTAATGACCACTGGTATTGATCATTTTATCATGTGCTTCTTGGCCATTTGTACATCTGTTTTGGAGATGTCTGTTCAAATCCATTGCCTTTTATTAATTGGTTTTTTTGTCTTTCCTTTCTATATTCTGGACACTTGCCAGACATATGATTTACAAATATTTTCTCCCATCCTGTCAGCTGTCATTTCACCTTTTGATAATGGTTTTTGACACACAAAAAGTTTAATTTTTGTGAAGCTCAATTTACCAGTTTTTTCTTTCGTTGCTTATGCTTTTGTGTCAAATCTAAGGATCGATGGCCAAACCCAACATTATGATTTGCCCTGATGTTTTCTTCTGATAAGTTTTATAAAGTTTTTGCACTAATATATTTGGGTTGTTGATCCATTCAAGCTAATTTTTGAATATGGAGTGAGGTAAGGGTCCTTACCCCTTTCTTCTTCACGTGCCATTTATCCTGGCACCATGTCTTGAAGAGGCTATTGTTTTTCCCATTGAATGGTCTTGGCATCCTTGTCAAAAATTTTGTGTCAATCTTTGTTTCTTCCTATTTCTCTATCTTTCTGTCTCTCTCGCTTGATTTCCCTCTGTCTCCATCTTTCTCATATCTTGCATGCTTATATTTAATATGCACATTCCTTACCAGTTGTCTGTGATTCTAGCATCCCACATGGGAGAGAAATGATGGCATTTGGGTGTGGCTGGGGGGAAAGTGATCAGGTGCATAAGGAGATGCTCTGGAAGGTGTGGCCTGGCTTCACTTGCCAGCTAAACATTTTGTCCAGAAAAGCAGAGGGGACTCAGGGCTGGAGAAGGAATGGAGGGGAGGGTTGATTTTCCTTTTTAAGACCAAATCAGGATTACTGTAAATACTCGTGCATCATTTTATTACAAACTGAGTTTACATCTTGATATTCCATTTCCATTAGACCTTATGGAAAATTAACTGTATGCAAACAATATATGATTC